GATCTTGGTTTAGCTCTAGAATGTTCAGCTGAGCTAGATTTCCTTTAGTTCCTCAAGGACACAGTGGTCTCTCTTGTTCTGGCTTTCGCACATAGAATTCCCACTTCCTGAACAGGAAGGAAATAGATTTGCTCTGAGCTGTCATCACTGGTTCACTCTGGCACACTCGGCTGTCTCACCCGTCCCCTCCTCCTGGAACCTTCCCATGATGTCATCAAAACTGCAGTTACCTAGTTAGTGCCTGAATTGACAATTCCATGAAAGCCTGGATTATTTCTGTTGGTTTCTCGAGACAGGGTTTCTCTGTGTAGCCCTGGCTGTCCTGGACTTGACTCTGTAGACCAGGCTGGCCGTAAACTCAGAGATTTGCCTGCCTCTGCCTCCTGAGTGCTGGGATAAAAGATGCACCTCATCACTTACCCAACAAGCTTGGATTATTTTGATCCTAGTGCATATATGATGACAAACACATGGCCTGGCATATACCAGATAACCTAAAAATAGTTTTATTTATATAAATAGTACACACACACACACACACACACACACACACACACACACACACACACGCACACATAGTTTTGCCTGAATATATGTCTGTGCAATACAAGTGTGCCTGGTGTCTGTGGAGGCCAGAGGAGGATGTTGGATCCTCTGCAACTGGAATTATAGATGGTTACTAATTGTCATGTGCGTGCTGAAAATTGAACCTGGGTCATGTGAAAGAGCAGCCAGGGCTCTTGACCATTCTCTAGTCCCTGTAAGAATACTTTTTGAATGAATGGATTAATTAAAAATCAAGTCAGAGGCAGTAGGTAGGATGAGATGACCTAATACACCAACTCCACATAGGATGATTCAAAATCACAAGTCTGTTGGAACTGAATTACAGACACTACGTTCTCACATCTCTTCAGCACCAACCTGACTTTCCAAGCACACACGCAGAATCCATCCTACAGCTTATTTAACTATTCCTCAAACATACCTTGAGTATTCAGTATACTAACTATCATTTCAGTCCCGAGCCATCTGCACATGGAACAGATAGTCCTGTATTTAGCCAAAGGAAGAACACCATAGGATACAGTGCTGAAGATATATGGAGGGAAACATGACCCTGACCATGCTGTAAATGGACAGAACACTTTGAGTACATGTTAGCAATCTGCATTTCCACTCTCAAGAAAATTCAGACAAGTAATCCTCCTAAGTAGTGGAAGTGGCATAGAATGTGATGTCCCACACTGAGGACTGAGCCCAGCATCTGTGCATGAGAAGCAAGCACAATCTCCCCAGCTCTCTTTAGGGTAATTTAAGCTTTAAGCACAACATAAGAAAGGACAGATGTCTTCCCAAGGCACATCTTTGTTTTTAGTTTCAGACAGTGTCTCACTATGTAGCCCGGCTGGCCTAGGATTCACTGTGCAGATCAGACTAGCCTCAAACTCAGAGATCCACTTGCTTCTGCCTGTCGAGGGCTGGTATTAAAGGCGTGCGCTATAACATCTGGCTCCAGAGCGCACACTAAGGAGAGTATGTGACAGAGCATGCTTGGCTGGATTAATCACATCTTCTTGTGATTACAGGAGTACTTATTAAGGTTGCCACTTCTGAAGTCTCCCATGTTGAGAGAAAAAGTCAAGAAAAATGAGGAGAAATACAAAAGAAATTAACAAGGTACAGGGTAAGTGATTTAACCCTGCAAATGCACAAGGGGACTAAGTGGGCTCTAAAACTTCCCTTGCTTGAACAATGTTTGTCAATTTATTCACTGTGCTTCCTTCTCCAAATCCTGTGTGTATATATATAGCTTTATCTAAATAGAATTTGGCAGAGTGACTAACATATGGCATTTGGGTAAGGGTATCCTGGTTGAGGAATCCCTTTTGCCTCTTAAATCAAATGGGGTATGTGGTATTTGGTTACTTACAACCTAAGTTCTTTCTTCTGATTAAATTTGCATTAACATGCTTCTTTAGGCTGTAACTCAGGAATTTAATAAGCTTTTTAAAGACAAAGTAACATTCTTTCTTGAGCATTTCACTTAACTTTATTTTGAATGCAGCATGACATTTCAAATATAAAATATGGGTCTGGGATGGAATAACGATCCACAATTTGCATTCTGTAAAATTATAGTGTGAAAATTACACCTTTCCAGAATAAAAATGTGATGGAAGAAAATATAGCCTCCCACAGCCTAACTTAAAATGTCAGGAAATGCCTTGATCTGAATCAAAGCTTATGGAACCGCAGAGCTTTCAAGGTAAAGAAATAAAGGATTAGAAAGACTTCTGAAATGGATGTAGAAGAAAACATCTTCAAAGGGCTACAGATGGCTCTTGCAGAGGACCTGAGTTCGGTTTCCAGCACCCATGCTGGATGGCTGAAACACCAGCTCCAGAGGATCTGACTCCCTATTCTGCCCCCCTGGGTACTTGTGTTAACATATGCATATACATATACATATACCCATCTACACACACACACACACACACACACACACACACACACACACAGAGTATTAACATATGCATATACCCATCTACACACACACACACACACACACACACACACAGAGTATTAACGTATGCATATACCCATCTACACACACACACACACACACACACACACACAGAGTATTAAAGTATGCATATACCCATCTACACACACACACACACACACACACACACAGAGTATTAAAGTATGCATATACCCATCTACACACACACACACACACACACACACACACACAGAGTATTAACATATGCATATACCCATCTACACACACACACAGAGTATTAAAGTATGCATATACCCATCTACACACACACACACACACACACACACACACACACACACACACACACACACACACAGAGTATTAAAGTATGCATATACCCATCTACACACACACACACACACACACACACACACACAGAGTATTAAAGTATGCATATACCCATCTACACACACACACACACACACACACACACAGAGTATTAACATATGCATATACCCATCTACACACACACACAGAGTATTAAAGTATGCATATACCCATCTACACACACACACACACACACACACACACACACACACACACACACAGAGTATTAAAGTATGCATATACCCATCTACACACACACACACACACACACACACACACACACACACACACACACAGAGTATTAAAGTATGCATATACCCATCTACACACACACACACACACACACACACACACACAGAGTATTAACATATGCATATACCCATCTACACACACACACAGAGTATTAAAGTATGCATATACCCATCTAACACACACACACACACACACACACACACACACACACACACACACACACAGAGTATTAAAGTATGCATATACCCATCTACACACACACACACACACACACACACACACAGAGTATTAAAGTATGCATATACCCATCTACACACACACACACACACACACACACACACACAGAGTATTAACATATGCATATACCCATTTACACACACACACACACTTGTATTAACATATGTATATACCCATTTACACACACACACACACACACATACACACACACACGTTACACACAATTAAAAAGGAAAGGAAAATGCCTTTGAGAATCAGAATGTTGGCCTTGAAATGACTTCATCTAGCAAGTAGAAAACAGAAGATAACCTTCACCATTGCACATTTCACAAGGGTGAAATATTTCTCTTTGGGATAGTTTGCATTAATAAGTGAGGTACATACCTCTGTTGTCATATGGAAAATACACTGACATAATCAAGAAACAGATAGTAGGTGGCTGGAGAGATGGCTCAGTAGTTAAGAGCACCGACTTTTCTTCCAGAGGACCCAGGTTCAATTCCAGCCCAACATAGCTGCTCACAACTGTCTCTAACCCCAGTTCCAGGGGAGCTGACCCCCTCACACAGGCAAAATACCAAGGATATAAAATAAAAAATAAATTTTAAGAGACAGTAGGACATACACGCTGATTAAATGTTTTGCCTGTTCTGGTTGCCCAATAGGAAATCTAGATACTAAATATCAAGTGAACAAACTTTGGCATGTGCAGTGTAGGAATCACCACTCAAGTGTTTTGTTTTTTGTTTCAATCAATACCTAGATTCATACCAAACAGACCTATCAGGGAACAACACAAATATCAGGAAGGGTCATGTATGGGAATCATCATTCTGTCTAAAAGGGACTGAGCCTCTGAATCAAGATGGTTTCCTAAAACAAAAGCATCACAGGCAAATAACAAGAGAGTGCAGGAAGGCTCCGGGACACTGACCAGTTTCCACATCTCTTCACTTCCGTGGTTTGAAACAGAGTGGCCCCAAAGGCTCATGCATTTGAATGTTGCATGCTCCGTTTGAGATTTCAAAAGCCCACACCAGGCCCCCACTAACTCTCTGCCCTCAGCTGCGGCTCAGATATGGATGTAAACTTTCAGCTTTTGCTCCAGCTCGGCGCCTTCCTGCCTGCTATCTCATCATGGACTCACGCTGAGACGGTAGCACGGCCCTAATTAAACGCTTTCTTCTATACGCTGCCTTGGTAATGGAGTCTCTCCACAGCAATAGAACTGTGACTGTGACATCACTGTCCCACCAAAACCTGCCTCATCTAAGCCTGACAGCCCAACACAGTCAAATGAATAGCAGGACAACACACCTCTAGGTAATACTCATCTCAAGAGTAGGTACATTGTCTTTCATCCTTGACAAGGACTCATTATGCAGACAAGTATGGCCTATAGCAGCTCTACTGCATGCTGGAATTAAAGGCATGTGCCACCACACCTAGCTATTTCTTTTACGTTATATGTAGGTCACCCATACAAGCTGTTGCTTACAGAAATTCTTTCACAGCTACAGCAGGTTTGAAAACCGCTGGGATAAGGAATGGCTAACAGTGTTTAATGTTTAGTTTTAAGCACGAGCAGATAAAGGCTTACGGAGAAAAATTATCCCACCTGATGTGTGCATTGCAGTATCTTTTAGCGTACTCGATCCAAGTCCCAAATTTTTGTGGGAAGAGAGCTTCAATCTGCATGAAAAGCTGTAACAATACAAATGTTCTTAATATATTGCAATATTTTCAAGGACGTTATTATGATGATAAAAGAAATTAATAAGAATAATAAGAAGTATAAAAAGCAAAGCTACTTCTTCCTCAAGGCCTTTCCTTTTTCATTACCCCCACCCCATCCATTCATCAGGGATAACAATTGTTTCTAAATGTAACAAATATACATATACATGTGTAGGTATATGTGTATATGTATGTATTTGTGTATATGTATATATATATATATATATATATATACATACACACACACACACACTTTTATATTTAAAAAGATTTCTCTCCATCCCCTGTATATATATAATTTATTCACATATAGGCAATCATAATATTATGGTAGAATGAAAATTTTACTACAAAATGTGTCTCAGATATTATTTTAATTTTAGGAAGTATACAAGCAAAGTACTATCATAATAAAGAACTTTCTAAATCTTGGAATCTCGGCTGAAGAGGGGGGCATGATTATTGCATACAGCTTAGTCAAGGAGGAAGCTATTACACACTCATAAACAAGGAGGCAGGGGTATTATATACAACTGAACAAGGAGATACGCTTAGTTAATCTTAGTAGGAGCAGTCTCTGTGGGAAAGCAGTCTTCTGGACATAAACATGCAAGAGGAGAAAGCGATGGTAGACATTTTCTGCACTCTGTCAGCATTTGCACTCAGAGCACAGGTAGGTTTTGCCATCCTTCTTAGCCTTGTTGGCTGTGCCACTATCATGGGGTAAAGGTATAGGTACTTGACATGGTAATGCCTATATCAAACAGTACGAACAAAACACATCCATTCAGGACCTCACTTACTCCCAACATAAAGGAGAATGTCAGAACAAAGGTCCCTTTGGGACTGAACAGCAGCTTAGAATGTTTCCATTATAATCAGCATACAATCTTCCAAGGTTTATCTTGTGAACAGAAAGTAAAGATTCAAAAAATAAACAAAAAAAAATTGGAAAGTTTACACCTTCCATATAGTGCTTCCTTGTGCATGTGGTTTGCCTGGAAAGAAAGCTCTATCTCTGATGCCCTAAATGTCACATATCATTAAAATCCTTATGGACTTCTGTGCCTTCTCTATGACTGCCTAGACTTGTAGTCCTTCAAGTCCCATCCGTAAGAATACAAACAAGTATAGGAAATTATTTTACAGACATTTCAATTATCTTCTTTCACTTTCAAACAATGATTTGTTTACTTGTTTTGAAGTGCTTGGGACAGAATACAAAACCTTACACAAGCCAAACTAAATAGAGCTGTATAAACTAGGGTTAAATATCACCATGAATTTGCTGTAAAGCAATTGATTTCCTATGTATTCTTTCTTTATTATCATCTCTTATAGGTCTGCTTGAAAAAAAATTAGTCAGGCATTCAATTAAGCACTGCATCTAGCATTCATAAAAGTAGGCCATTTTTTCTGAGCTTTTTTTGGTCTTGTTTTGTTTTTCGAGACAGGGTTTCTCTGTAGCTTTGGAGCCTATCCTGGCACTCACTCTGTAGACCAGGCTGGCTTCAAACTCACAGAGATCCACCTGCCTCTGGTTCCTGAGTGCTGGGGTTAAAGGTGTGTGCCACCACTGCCCAGTTCAGATTTTTTTTTCTGATTTTCTAAAGTGCCTACTCTTAAATTAAAATTACATTCTATAATTGCAACATAGTACTATACAACAGCAAAGAAATTCCTTTGTGATTTTCCTTTACATTAAATATATAATTTTAGAATGTAAATTTCCTAGAGGCAGTGATGATGGAGAACTCATATTCCTTAATTATCAGGTTATTTGATCATCTACCATACTACCAAGTATGTTTATGTTAAGAAATGGACTATAAATATAGAAGAGAACTTAACTACTACTTTGTTTCATTTTGTGTCCATGTATATATATGTCTAACCTACACTTTAATAAAGACATGCTTAGTTAAGGCTAAAAGTGAGTCCTTTTACTTGTCCTATCAGAATACAAAGAAATTGAGTGTGCATTTGCTTCACTTTTAAGACTTGCATAATTTATAGTTCAGATAAACATAAAAGTCCTTATTTTTATTTGTTCTTTGATACGATGCACACTGACTGCAGCTTCCCCTCCCTCCTCTCCTCCCAGACCTCCCCCACCTCCTCTCCCCCAGATCCACTCCCACCACCACCTACTCCCATAAAAGAGCATCAAACATCAAAGAAACACAGCACCACAAGGGACAATAATACTACGAACAAAACCTCACACGGAGGCTGGACAAGGCAACCCAGCAGGAGGAAAAGGGTCCCCAAAGCAGGCTAAAGCGCCAGAGACGGCCCCACCCCCACTGCTAGGAGTTGCCCTGCAAATGCCAAGCCAACAACTGTAACATGCATGCAGAGGGCCTGGTGCAGACCCATACAGGCTGTGGTTGTACTTCAGTCTGTGTGAGCTCCCACGATCCCGGCTTAGGTGATTCCCTCTCGTGGTGTTGTCCACCTCTCTGACTCCCATAATTCCTTCTCCTCTTCTGCAGGATTCTCCAAGCTCCTAAGGGAGGGACCCAACTTGGGCCCTCTCTTTACTTAATGTTTGGCTGTGGGTCTCTGCAGACTCTCCCATCAGCTGTGGAGGCAGCCTCTCTGATAACACCCGGACTAGACACTGATCTCTAGGTCTTACAACATCATTAGGATCTATCTATCTATCTATCTATCTATCTATCTATCTATCTATCTATCTATCTATCTATCTATCTATCTATCTATCTATCTGGCCAGTGTTCTGCCCTTGCTCTGGTCTCTAGGCTATGCAGCCTCCTGTTCCTGGTCACCCAGGCAGTGTTGGGCATGGGCTCCTTCTCATGGTGTGGTCCTCAAATTAGACCAGTCATTGCTTGGTTACTCCTATTAGATATGTTGCGAATTCTCTGCTTAGATCTGTACCCATTTTCTTAAACTGGATTGTTGGGTTGGCTGACATCTAGTGACTTGAGGTCTTTATATATTTCAGATATTAGCCCTCTGTTAGATGTGGAATTGGTAAAAATCATTTCCCATTTGGTAGCCAGTGCTTTGTCAGACAGACAGTATCCTTTACCTGGAAGAAGCTTTTCAGTTTCATCAGGTCCCATTAATTGTCGATCTTAGTGCCTGAGCTATTGGTGTTCTGTTCAGGAAGTGGTCTCCTGTGCCAATGCATTTAAGGCTGCTCCCAATTTCTCTTCTATCAGGGTCAGAGTATTTGGTTTTGTGTTAAGGTCTTTGATCTATTTGAAGCTGAGTTTTGTGCAGGGGATAAATATGAATCTATTTGCATTCTTCTATGTCTTAGTTGAGTTTCTCTTCCTGTGATGAGACACCATGACCACAACTCTTATAAGGAAACATTTAATTGGGTTGGCTCACTTACAGTTCAGAGGTTCAGTCCATTATCATTGTGGCAGGGAGCATAGCATGGCAGCAGGCAGGCAGACATGGTGCTAGAGAAGTAGCTGAGAGTCTCTCCTCTCGCTGGCAACAGGAAATGGTCTAGCATACTGGGCAGCATCTAAAGGAAATCTTCCTCAAACAAGGTCATACCTACTCCAACAAAGCCACATCTCTTTAATAGTGCCACTCCTGAGCTTATGGGGCCAATGACATTCTAACTGCCGAATTCAACATGCTGATGCCCAGTTCGATCAGCACCACTTGTTGAAGATGATTTCTTTTATTCCACAGTGTATCTATGGCTTCTTTATAAAAAAATCACAGTTGTATTAATTTACTTATGGGTCTTTGATTCAATTCCATTGGTCAATGTAACTATTTTGATGACAATATATAGTTTTTATTACTATAGCTCTATAGTACAGCTTGAAATTAGGGATGGTGATACTTCTGGATATTCTATTATTGTTCAGGTTTGTTTTAGTTATTCGGGAGTTTTTTTTTTTTTATATTTAGTTGAGTATTGTTCTTTATAGGTCTGTAAAGAGTTGGTTGGAATTTTAGTGAGGATTGTGTTAAATCTATAGCTTGCTTTTGGTAGGATGGCCATTTTTACTATGTAAATCCTATCAATCCATGAACATGGGGTCCCCTCCCAAGATGGGAGAAGGGGGGTGAGGTTGGGGATAGAGTGTGGGATGCAAACAGAGTCTGGGGGTGGTCCATGAGCAGGTGGCCTACTTGGATTTCTGGTGGCTGCAGTGACCTCTTGCTACATGGGGGGTAGGGATGGATGGGGAGTGGGGGGGTATCTCTCCCTAAGCTCAATAATAAAGAACTTTTAAAGGGCTGAATAACTATCTATTATTGTGTATATAAGATAAAATCTTTAAACATATCCCTCATATTGAATTAACAGGCTATTTTTATCTTTTATGCAATGTTAATACTTTCATATTATTATATTTGTGTGTATGTAAGCTACACATGAGTACCTGTAAGTATGAGTTTTCTTGTCCGGCAGGTCACACGGCCCTTGAGCCCCAAATGAACACGAAGACGCTGTATTAATTGTGAAATTGTTGACAGATGACTAGGGCTTCTTATTGGCTAGCTCTGTCTCATTATTAACCCATTTCTATCAATCTATGTATTGCCACGAGATTGTGGCTTCCCTGATAATGCCCAGTATGGTGTTACTTCTCTGGCAGCATCGTGACTCTGGCGGGCTCCTATCTGCCTTTCCCAGAATCCTCCTCCTCTGGTGGCCCTGCCTATCCTTCTTGCCTGGCCACTAGTCACACAGTGCTTTATTCATTAACCAGTAAGAGAAACATATGTGCAGAAAGGTAACCCCCATCAAGTACCTATCGGTCATCTACCTATGTATCCATCCATTCATATATACATTTGTTTGTTTGAAATGGGGTATTTATGTATTTATGCTGGCCTCAAAATTTAATCCTCCTGCTTGGGCTTCCTGAATGCTGGACCCCCAAGCTTATTGGCATTCTTATTGGATGAATTTGACATGGTGTTAGGGGTTAGTCCCGACTGATATAGGCAAGCTCTGTATCGCTAGGTTTACTCTCTGGCCCAAGCAGAATGCTTTCCCTTTTCTTTTGGCGCATATCTCAGTGTGTGGTGTGCATGCTCGCGTGGAAGCTCGAGGCTAACGTTAACCAGTGTCTTCTTCAATCATTCTGCCCCTTATGAACTGAGACAGAGTCTCTCACTGAATCTGGAACTTGCCTTTCTGCTGGGCTAGCCAGCCAGCTTGCCTCCTTTTCCCACACTGGAATTACAGTCTGCTGTCCCGCCTGCCTGACTTTATATGGGGCCCTGGGGACTGAACTCTGGACCTCAGATTTGTGCAGTAAGCACTGTACCTGCTAAGCTGTCTTTCCAGCCTACATATATGATTTTTAAAAATTATCTAGGTTGAGCATTTTGGCCAGTAGCATTATTAAGTTTTTTCATTTCACAGCTCTAATAGGCCGCACATGATAATATTTTATTACCATTTTAATAGGCTCTTTAACATAATAGCTTTACTGATATTAATATACCATAAACTTCACTTTTCAAGTATGACTTTTAGCACAGTCACAAAAGCTATACATCAGTCACTGCTATTTACACAACACTGTTACCATCCTAAAAAGAAACCCATCTCCAATAGCAGTCAAAACCCCTTCCCTTCCCACCTGATCCTGGCCAGCATTAAGCTTTTTTCTTCTTTCATAAGTTTTTATTCCTGGTATTTCATATAAAAAGAATCAACCACAGAATAGACTTCTGCGGGATGTACCTGTGTTAACATGAAATAAAGAGCTCCAAACAACAACCCAACTTCCCAGCTGGAAAGTGTGGAGACAAAGCTAAATGAGAAGGCAAGCACTGAAGGAAAAACACTCTAAGCACTTTGATGAAAATAAATAGAGGAGAAAATTGGCAAGCCCAAGTTGGTTCTTCGAACAATCGATAACACAGACTCAACTTTAGTTAAGCTAGCCAATAAAACAAAAGCCTTCAAAAATTAGCAGTACATAAGGAGATACAACACCAATCATAGAGATATGAAGTATTAGAGAATGATACTATGAACAACTACTTGCCAGTATGGTCGGAACTAAAGGAGGCTGAGGAAGACACTCTGAACATGGCTATGTTCCTAGCCTAAGTTCCTCTGGTCTAGCTTGTCTCCACATTCCAAGTGTAGCTACTGAAGGCAAAAACAGCTATAGACAAGCTCTGCAATGAGTATAAAACAACTATTTGGAGCTCACTGGCCAGCTAGCCCAGCAAAATTATGGAGCTCTGGGCTCCGTGTGAGATCCCACTTCAGAACATAAAGTGGAGAGCAGTTGAGAAAGCTACCAGGTGACATCGTGACATCAAACGCTGGCCTTCACATGTGCAGGAGGGCCCCCACCTCCTTCCCTCCCTCCCTCCCTCTCTCTCACACACAGCACACAACATATACCTTTACACACACACAGTAGATTAAATGTCAATTCTAAGATATTTTTACATAAACTAGATATAGAAAGATACATCCTCCCCCCCCCCCCCGAAACAGATGCAACTAGCATTACAAATAAACACTAAATAAAGAGATTTTATAATTGGGTGTGGCAGGGCACACCTTGAATGCTGGCACTCAGGGGACTGAAGGAGGCTGATCACTATGAGTCTGGCCCAGCCTGGTCTACTACATAGCATATTTCAAGAGCCAGAGATACATAACAAGACCTCAGGTCAAAGCAAACAAATAACAACAAAACAACAACAATAAAAAAGGAAAATAAAGTAACAAAGGAAAAAAGAAAACTGTTTTATGCATCCCTGTAAGTACGGCTAAGACATGAATAAATAGGTTTTTAAAAACCCAGTTATAATAAAAAAAAAAAATAGTGTTTAATCACTAATAGTATCTTGGAATTTCCCAAGGTATTTGAAGCATCTGACTTGAAAGGAAAACTCATCAAGTAGAAGATAGATTTAGTTTTTCCCATTACACTTAAAGCAGAGAAATCCTGGTACCTCCTCAGGCCTTCCCAGAGCGGGGGTTCCTGTAAGAAGAATGGCTCGCCTGGCTCTCTGTACCAGGGGCAGGAGAAGCTTGCTGCGGGCGGCAGTTCTGGACTTCATGTAGTGCGATTCGTCTACTATCACGACTTGGAAGTTCTGGCTGCTCAGCGCATTGATCAAAGTCTCTGCATCGGTGGTTATGAGACCATAGCCTAGAACTGTCACTCTGCTGGTTGATATTCTCCTAGAAAAAAAAATCCACCTGCTTAAAAAAAAACATCTCTATCTCAGCAATGAATCTATCACAAACAAAACAACACTCCTGGTGAGAAAAAGAGAAGAGAGAGGGGAGGAAAGAGAAGAGAGAGAGAGAGAGAGAGAGAGAGAGAGAGAGAGAGAGGGAGGGAGGGAGAGGGAGAGGGACAGAGAAAGGAGAGAGGAAAGGGAGAGAGAGGAAAGGGAGAGGGAGAGAGAAAGGGAGGGAGAGAGAGAGGGAGAGAGAGAGAGAGAGAGAGAGAGAGAGAAGAAAGAAATAAGAAATGGCCCTACTGCTAAACCTCAACTATTTACATTATTTAGATTTTACAATTCTCCAATACATTAAGCCAAGATGTACAATTCTGTTCAAGTGGTTTTTGAAAGATTTAAGAACTAGAAAGCCACATTTCACTAGGATAAGAATGTTACTTTATGACAATGGTTTCTTCCATGCATTCATTTTTCAACCTGGGTGCCGTTGGTATTTTGTCAGAGCGACACCTGACAGAGATGCCCACTGCACACCCAGTCTTTGCAATCTCATCTAACATGGCTCTCAGGGACTGTGGTGCTGGTGTGATGGAGGAGGACCCTCCCCTTAGACATAGGGCCACCACGCTAAAACAAAGTGACTCTCTGAGCTTTGGTCTCTATAATACCCACCTCTGCAAATGTCTTTAACCACTATTACAAATGTATTCCTATGCACATTTTCTTACTATGTCTGACACCAGGGAGGAAAGGAAATGTGTTTTATTCATCTTTGTACACATGGTATTTGCTCCTAGTGTAGAATGAAGTAATGAGACAAGCTCATGAACACTAAAAGGTACCAACTTTTCATTTTCTATTATCACTAACAATACACGGTTTTACCTGCCACTTTCATATTCTGTGCATGTATGCATGTATATACATGTGTGGGTGGGAAAGAATGTGCTTGTTTATATACATACAGACGCCAGAGGTTGATATGAAGTATCCTCCTGCATCACTCTCCAATTATCCAATATCCAAAGTATCTTGCTGAACTTAGAGCTCTCCAAATTGGCTAGTCTAGATAGCCAGCTTGCCCTGGGGTCCCTTGTCTTTTCTCTACAACTCACGGACTGGGATTACTGGCAGGCTAGCATGCCAGTCCAGCTTTTATGTCAGATTCCTTGTCTCCATCTCTCTGGTGCAGGGAATGAAGGGAGGTCATCATGCCACCCACCATTTATACTGGAGCTGGGGACTAGAAGTGCTTTACCCTCACAGCCACCTCCCCACCCCATTTTCTGTCCTCCCGGGAAGAAGAGCCTGCATTAGAAAAGTATGGGCTTAGTATTACGAGCTAACTAAGATATACTGTGAGGAATAATATCCACCGGACAATGGTGTTGTAGGTAACTGCAGCCGTCTTGGTGGCTTCTATTCTTACATGTTAGGACTGGGTGATAGCTCAGCAACAGGTGGTACCAGGAGTAATCTCTATATACAGTAACACTGACACAGGTTGGTACGTACCCAAAACTGTTTCTCTACAGATCTAGATGATACCAAGTAACTTTTATGCCCTTGGTTAACACCTTCCAAAAATGTATACTCCTGGATTCGTGGCCCTATCTAACACACCCAAATATTATATAAACAAAAGCCATGACCACTATTTAATCACAAGAGTGTGTGCCTCCTAAATAATAATGAAAAGTAGATCATCTAATGCCAAAAAAGATGACAAAGAATAGATTTTAAGGAAACGTCAATATAGACATTTAAATTAAGGTAAGAAAGCCTTAAGAATTCAAAATTCTCTAAATTTGTGTCTTTTCAATTTTATGAAGTTTTTCTGGAGAAGTAACCAATTAATAAGAATTGTCTATATTTTATTATAGTAATGCAAATAGGGCCTAAATTTTCTTGGATTCATATATATATGAACACTAATGAATTAGGGCTCCAAGGTTAAAAGAAGGAAAACATCCTATATCAATGTTGTTTGCTTCCTTCTTCTCCATGCAAGCCAAAGTTATCCCTATAAACACTATTTATATTCATAGTGTTAGATATACATTTCAGAGCAATATTACCAAGAATGATCTAAGAACTAATAGATAGGCATGCCTTTAATCCCTGCACTTGGGAGGCAGAGGCAGGCGGATCTCTGTGAGTTCGAGGCCAGCCTGGTCTATAATAGCTAGTTCTAGGACAGGCTCCAAAGCCACAGAAAAACCCTGTCTTGAAAAACCAAAAAAAAAAAAAAAAAAAAAAAACCAACAAACTCAAAAAGAACTAACATTTATTTCTGGTAAAGGTGTCACTTAAGTGCTAATTCTGTGTCATCCATCTGATGGGGGTTGTCTTTCTGAATTTTTACTTATTGGTTGATGAATAAAACACTGTTGGCCAATAGGGCAGCAAGGCAGGTGGGTCTAGGAGAAGAGGAGAATTCTGGGAGGTGTAGGCAGAGGAGTCATCATGTGATTCTGGGAAGAGAGGACACGAGTCAGGCCTTCTCAGGTAAGATAAGACCATGAAGAAATACATAGATTAGTAGATATGAGTTAATAATTCCAATAAGAAGCCCTAGTCATCGGCTTGTACAGTTTCATAATTAATATAGCATCTGTGTGTTCATTTGGAGCTGATGCTATGGGACCAGGCTGGCGGGAAGAACCATCTGCAACATCCATCTCCCAGACAGGGTTTCTGTATGTAGCCCTGGCTATCCTGGAACTCACTTCATAGACCAGGCTAGCCTTGAATGGATAGATCTGTCTGCCCTGCCTCCGGACTGCTTGGATTAAAGGCATGCACCACCTACCCAGCATTCTGAGCCTTTGAAAACAAGATAGTTTGCATCATTCAACTATAGATATACAATACAATAACTTATATTCAAATAAATTGACTTAGTCCAGTGGCAACAAAATAAAATGGAAAACAAATGAAAACTAGAAAATTATGATACATTTTTTAGATCAAGGAGTATAATTACAATTGAGCAAATGTTTTCAAGGTATAAAATATCAAAATTATAAGTTAACCCTCCAAAAAACCAAACCTGTTAAAATTGAGTCATACATAAAACTGGAAAGCAAACCATGTCAAGATTGTTGATAAAGTTCACACAGCATCAGGTCAGTCTTGAAAAACTGATGGAATTATTTTTGAACCTTAAACTTATTCGTTTAAAGTATATTTAAGACATATAGAAATAAATACATCTATAAAAGTATACATATTTTACATTTCCTCTGAGAGTATACCATAGGTATTGGGTTTTAGGTAAATAATATTTTAAAATGGAAAACAAAGCTCCCCACATCACCTTCTTTTGATGTTAGCAGGTGATATTTCATTCAAAGCATGAATACAATGTATCAGGCTCTGAATTTGATCATTAGTACCAAAAAATCCAAAGCAAACCAAAATACTGTGTGGACTAAATGCAAATAAAACACTTTTTTAGGGGGTGGGGTCTTTCTTTTTTCCTTAAACAGGTCTCTCTATGTGGTACTGGCTGTCCTGGAACTTGTTCTGCAGACCAGGCTGTCATGGAACTCATCTATCTGCCTGCCTCCACCTCCTGAATGCTAGGATCGAAGGTCTCGCCACCACTACGTGTGGCCATATTTTTTCTTTGAGACAAACAAGTTCTTCTTACCCGATGTCAGTTTTGCTCATGATAATATTTATTTCTTCTGGCTCTAGCTCTGGGATCCACTTTTCTAGCTCTTCCGTCCAAGGGTACCTCAGCGATGAAGGGACAACTATCAGGAGAGGCCATTCCTCTTTGTAGAAGTACGCAACTGCAATTGCCTGGATTGTCTTCCCTAGCCCCATCTAAACAGAAATTTAAAAAAGTGCATGTTACAAATAAAGCCTATGTCCTGAAAGAAAACATCAAATACTAAAAAGTGTTACATCAAGGATTTTATTATATCAACTGGAATAGTTAGTTAAAAGTTCAAGATTACTAGGAACTTGAAGAGTCATTAAAGAAATTATACTATTTTAAAGATTATTTGTGATTAGAGGCAGATGAATTATATTGATTTCGTTTGTAGTTTTTTTTTTCCTTTTTTGAGAACACAACAATAAGTGCATTCATTACCCTCCCTAGCAGAAGATCATGTTACTTAAAGTTGAAATAACTATGAATCATACATGTTGTCCAAAGAAAAAGTAAGCTAGAGAAGTTGAATTATTTAAACCACAGCTAAGTGATACAAAATTAGGATGAAGTTCCCAGTCTGTGGTGTCTTTTTCCTTTGACCTTTTCCATTTTCCTTCTCCATGCCACGCCTAAATGCAGTGTAATTTCCCCTCAGCAGCATGCCTTCTGATGCAGGACTGGGATGGGCAGATTCTGCAGTGCATCTGTTTTCTAAAGATAGTCTTGTGTTTGTTCTCTCAACATGGGGATTTGGCTGGGGCTTGTAGGAGTATGGAAGCAGAATCAGCATTCCAAAGTATGCTGGAAGTAAAATTTTAATTAATCTTATTTCTATATAATCCTAGGGCCCTTAGACAGGAATTGCTACTTAAGGTCCCATATAGCAAGACTACAGTCTGACCGCATTAGGTGTATATTAAAGGTAATAAATCTGCAACATATGTTTGTTTCTCCTTCAACTATTTTACTCTCACACATAATAATTAAAAACTAAAAAAGAGAGCACACACAAAACAAAAACAAAAGCAAGTTGATTCTCCCATCTGGGTAAATTCTACCACAGTGGTTCTTACATTTACAAAGAAGAAATGATTATGGTAAACGGTTGTGAAGAAAAAGACTAATAGACATAGGCTTTAACATATAAATGATTTTACTTTTTAGTTTGTGTGCATTGATGTTTGCCTGCGTGAGGGTGTGAGATCCCCTGGAACTGAAGTTACAGGCATGTACGAGCTGCCGTGTGGGTGCTGGGAATTGAACCCAGGTCCTCTGGAAGAGCAGCCAGCGCTCTTAATCACTGAGCCATCTTTCCAGCCCCCTGTATATTTTCTCTTTATTTAGTGCTATTAAGAACAAGAATCTTGGTTAGCTCACTCAGGATAGTTGTTTCCAGCTCCAATCATTTACCTGTGACTTTTACAACTTCATTTTTCTTAACAGCCAAATAACATTCCGATAGTATAACCCAGATACAGAAAGACAAACACTATAGACATGTATGTTTCATTTGGAAAAAGAGGGCAGGAATCCAGTAAAGGACAATGGGGAGGAGCTCTCAAGGGAGAGGAGAGAGATGGCTGGGTTACAAAGGGGAGAAGATTACCCTGAGCTACAACAATGACTTCCCTGGCAAGACATGGCCACTAGTACAATAATGGCACAAATTTTACAGAAGTAACCAAACACAAGATAGAGCTCATATTTGGGACTATTTTAGGATTCAAAAAACCTGTAATTAGATAGGTCATAGACTCCAAGACAGAACCTAGTACTACTGATATTCAAAATGGACATAGTATTAAACCAACTCCTAATGACTTACACTCATAGATTGGTACAGCTGTTAACCCTTGATCAGAGAAGCTTCTTCTTTTTTAAACTAGGACCCAGTGTTCAAAGAGAAGTTTCTTTTTGTGTTAACAAAGGGACCCACAAATGGTCAATGGACAGACAATAAGAGACTTGGGAGTACTTGGCATTAAATAGGGCATCTACATCATACCCTTCCCCAAAAGGCTCAGGGACCCTCCAGGAAGAGGAGAGGAGGAAAACTCTATTGATTACAATGAAAATTTTGAACACAGTAGTGCAGTTACATTTATAGGTATTCATAAGACCTGTGCCAACTCAAGCCAGATTCCAGCATGGGAGAACAGGAGAGCTCACCCATGGCTGAGAAAGGGTTGGCAATTGATAGCTGATGCTCCAGGGCAGGCCTCATGCCCAAAATTATTTGGGCAACATAATTTGACTCCATAGGCTTAAAAAAGAAAAAAGGCTGGAAGTTGGGTGGGTGTGGACAGCTATTGTAGGACTTGGGGGGGGCTGAATATAATCAAATTATACTGAATAAAATTCTCAAAGAATATATATATATATATATATATATATATATATATACATACATAAATTCAGTGGGTAGAACTTGTCTATATGAAGTGATGGGTTCGATTCTCGCTGCCGAATAAAATGGGTATGGTGAAATAACCCTGTAATATACATTTATGAGCTAGAGGAACAGAGTTTCTAAGATACACAGAAGGTTCAAATTGAGCCCAACCTATAGATGACCCTGCCTCAAAAACAAAACAAACAAGCCACCCAGACAAAAATGAACAAGAAAACCAATGGGAATGATTGAATTAAAGTTACATTTATAGCAACCAATCTCCTACATTAATGAGAAAATTAGTGTGATCTGTTTAAGAGAATGTTCTTTTATAAGAAAAAGATCACAGGGGATGGAATTTAGGAAGTAATGTTTGTGACCTAGGACATCGCCACTGCCACAGGCATTATCTGATTGCCCTAGTGAATGGAGTTGACAAAGCAGAGATGAGCAAGGTGTTTGCTGTTCTAAATGGGTGGCACAAAAGCTTTAATGCCACTCTGCTTCAGGCCACGTGACAGAACCCAGATCCCTTTGAGCCAATTGAGGGAACTCAAGTGTAACTACTTTTAAAACAGATTTACATGACCCCACCTGGATGGCATTGCCCTACATGTGGAATTGTAGGAGGATGGGAGGGGAGGGTGGTCAGGGTGCATGTGATGGGGAGAGAGGGTAAGAGGGAGGGAGAACTGGGATTGACATGTAAAAAAAAAAAAAAAAAACAGAGGGAAGATCAAGCTGAAGATCAAAATGTCTGACCTAATCTTTTAAGGCTAAAATTGAGGTAGCAGGCACAGTGGTACAGGCTGAAGCAGGAAGGCTCTTCATTTAAAATATCCTGGTCTATCTTGCAATTTCAAAGCCAGCCTGGGTTACAAAGGCAGTCCCATCTCTAGGACAGGGAATATTTGTTCTAGAAAAAAAAATTGCTAACAGGAAGATGATGGTATGTGACTATGATTTGCTGTTGTTGTTAGATACAAATTTTTCAATCACGGCCTTAGAAATCAGAATATTGAGGAGAATTTAAAACAGCATAATACTCAAGGCAATGAATGACACACATCCTTTTGGTATACGGGAAGGTAGCTCAAAGCTTTTGGCTTTATCGAAGTCTCAGTTTGTTAAAATGGATTTCTCCAGTGTTTCTTCACTTAAGACTAAATCACTGTTAAGAACCGAAGCTGCCTCAATGATAATACGGATGTCTACATAAGAATTAAATAGAATATATGAACTTTAACAGTACCTCTTATCAGTATTTTCAAAATAGTAAATCATCATTTACTTTGGAAGAATAATTTCAGATTTTCTATTAAAATTAAAAAGAAAATCAAATAGCGATCTCAATCTGGAACTTTAGTTTCAATTTATTATGCTGTGATTGCTTTCATATAGAAATTTTTAAACACAGGCAATGCCAGCTACTGAGGACCTTTTGAATTTGGATAAAAAATTCAAGTTTTAGAGTTAAAAGCAGCTAGCACCTTTTTAGTGTGGAAATGGGGGAGAGAGGTTATTTTTAAACCGGATGTCCTATTTGTCCTGGAAGAGGCTCCCTGGGGAAAACACTTTTATATTTTGGTTGTGAGCCTAGCCTTTAATGTTCCAGCCCTTGGGAAGCCACTTTAAGTAAGCAGGTTTAAAAATCTTGAGACTTAAAGAAACCCGCAGAGGGAAATGTAAGACTTAAAGTCTATTTTTAAAAATTAATTTTTTTGTTTATTTTCAAGTGTGTAGCACTGGCTGTCTTCTGAAAACTTATTCTGTAGACCAGACTGGCCTCGAACTCAAGAGATCTGCCTGTCACTGCCTCCTGAGTGCTGGGATTAAAGGTGTGCATGCACCCACTAGGCTATTATTTATTATTTTAAGGCGCATATGTTTTAGTAGAACTATGTCTTTGTGAGTTTACTGTTGAATAACTAACGTTAATTTTAGGTGGTACATGTGAAAATCACTTTTCTTAGAACTTGTGTGTCTCCTAGAAGACCTGCAGGGAACCACACCCACAGGATACATTCACGTCCCATCTCTTTTTCTCAGTACTGAAGAGCCACTGAGGCCACACTTCAGGAAATCTATGGACACTGCACTGCTGGTTAACTCACCCTTTGGCAGGGGCAGGCCTTCTCTTTAAAGAGAAACCATTGACTAAAAAAGGCAAGGCCAGGGGCTGGAGACATGGCTCAGAGGTTAACTCAGAGCTCCTGAGTTCAATTCCCAGCAACCACATGGTGGCTCACAATCATCTGTAATGAGATATAGTGCCCTCTTCTGGCATGGAAGCATACATGCAGACAAAATACTGTATACATGATAAATAATTAAAAAAAAAAAAAAAAAAAAAGGCAAGGGCTGTGCTGGGTTAGCTGGGAAGAATAAAAACGCCTACTCCCCCCACCCCTTTCCAAAAGCACTGTCTTTGGTTGGTTGATGAAAGGTCTCAAATACCTACAGTAATTTCTGTGGGGCCGTGCAAAGCAGAGAGAAGGCAATAGGAAGGCCATTTCTACTATTATTATTTAATAATCTAATTTTAGTTTCATTGGTATTTTGCCTGCTTGAGGGTGTCAGATGGCCTGGGGCTGAAGTCACAAACAGGTGTGACCTGTCATGTGGGTACTGGGAAATGAACCTGGGTCCTTCGGAAGAGAAGCCAGTGCTCTTAACTGCCGAATCATCTCTCCAGTTTCCCAGAAAGGCCATTTTAAAGGTCTGTGAACAGAACAAAACTGTCTGAGGAGGAGTCATTTCTCAGAGTAGTCAGAT